AGAGAGGTCACAGATTCATTGTATGTTACAGCCTTGGTACAGCCCAACAGATGTGGCAGACCAACCTTCCTTCAGCCGTAGGTCACACCAAAGCATTACACAATACAGTTTGCGACAGACCAATATTTTGCAGGTCATGCAGAATGTGAGAATTATGACGCAGCCACGCATTTTATAAAGGGTGTGTACACGACAAGCCATCCCTTGCTCAATGGTGGTGATGCACTGGCCACCACCAATTTTTGCTCAAGGAGGAAAAAGTATATTCTTTACATATTTAATATATATATATAATACATATATATATATACACATATATATATTTTTTAATTATTATATATATATGTATATTTTTAATAGATCATTTTCTAGTATAATCAATGTTGATTTCAGAATCATTAGGAGTAGTCTTGTTGTAGCACGCCAAGGACATGTTTTCAATCCCAACATGACTGTCGCGTTCGGTTTGAGGTTTAATACTTTTGGGACCGAAACTTTTCAATGATCTTTCGATGTTGCTGTGGCCACTGTGGTCGCACTGCGATAGGTTGCCATGCCAGCTGGCCCTGCTAGCTTTTTTTTGGTTCAAAAATGGTGGCTCCCTTCGTGAAGATGAAGAGCATCACTGAACTTAGTGAGTTTCTGCCTGAGTTTGAACAGATTCAATTTTTGAAGTTTCTCTTTGAGTTTTTGACCACGCTTTGGATCGCCTCCGCCCAGTGACTATGATGATGGGAAAGCCCCACCGACTTCAAGTCTGAGCCAGTGGAGCGAGCCTGGTTCCAAGCTATCGAGCTGATGGAATCACAAAATTTCAGCAAGTCAAACGCAGAAGTTTTAAACATTCACAACATGGTTTTTTGCACCTGCCCAGTGCCAACTCCAATCGTCATTCAACTGGCCTTCGCCTCGATTCAGCCAGAACCTCATTTTGATGATGTTCAAACTTCAAACCTGAAGAGTAGTTTGTCCTGTTACTTTCTGTGAACCTCAGGCTGAGTTGGAGGTTTGCCGTGGTGCAACCATGCCGAAGTTTGGGTTGGCCTGGACAGAGACTGGCCAATTTACTGCCACCATTGCAGCTTACCAGCCAGTGTTTGGCAAACGAGTACCTGATGTAGGCCCATTGAACCTCCGGATAGTTCCTTATTTGACATTTAAGTTTCATGGTTTCAATTGGTCATATGGTCCTGCAGTAGGTGGGTTTACATTTTTGCTGTGCGGTGGCCCAGGTTCCAGAAAAGTCCAAGCAGGAGAAGGCCCGCCAGACCTTGAAGAAACCTTTGAAGCTGCTGGACCACCCGATGACATTGAATACTTTTGGAACCATCAGCCCATGGCTTAGAAAACTTGTTTGTACCTGTGCATTGTATTTGTCAACGTTTCTTAGATTGAGGAGTTTTTTCAGCTACTACTACGGCATGTTCCACCCACTTGAGTTTCAGAGCGAAGCAGGCCTGCACACTTTGAGATCTGTGTAAGACTGTAAGACTGTATAAGACTGTAAGGATGTACTTTGCAGGATCTCGCCACCATGGTCTACTACTGGGACTTCTATCGTCAGCAGTGCCGTTTGCATGGGCAACGTAGGGGACGGTATTTGCGCCCGACTGTGGGGGAGTATTTGTTTGGATGCTGTGCTGCAGGTATGTTCAGCATTGGCATTGCAGTCATTGTCATTGTCACTGTGGTTTTGTTCAGTTTGGTTTTAGATTCACCTGTCATGTCAGGACTCCCTACTGGATGGACAAAGGCAATTGAAGGAAGTGTTTGCAAAAAACATTTCAAGACTCTGTTCCCATGGTATGGCAATGTGCTTTGAAAGCATTTCATTGGACACTGTTGGTTTTAACTTGCATGTGTGCTCTTTCCCAGGGATATGATGTACAAAGTTCATTGCATGTTGAGGTACCCACCATCCCAGCGATTTCTTTGTTCAGTGGCTGTGGTGGCCTGGAACTCGCTGCCAACGAGTGAAGCCCTCAGAAAGTTGACAGTTTTTTTCCATTGTAATGGGTTTGGATTGGCCCAGGTTTTGCCACATCATTGCATGTGTGTTCACCTCAGACAACGCCTAAAATTTTCCAAAGGTTCTTCTAGCTTCCAGCACTGATGGCTAACAGTTTGCATACAGTTGTGTATTTATAGAGTAAATGCATGCATCAGGTTGAAGCCGACCCTGACTGCCAGAAGGTGCTGGCCTGTCGCATGAGAGATGGCATGCTGAATGATTGCCCCATTTTTTCAGACGTTCGTTCATACCACCCCAACAAGGGGGAGGCCAGTGGTTTACTGGCTGGGTTTCCTTGCCAAGTTGCTTGGCCTGTTTTTGGCAGTGATTCAGATCAAGTTGCATTGCAAACTCACAAAATAAGGGTGTCTCCAAAAGTGGCAGCTGAGGGTGTCTCCAAAAGTGGCAATCAACTCGGATATGAAGATGAACGCTCATGCCTGGTGGATGAAGTATACCGTGTCATTGATGAAGCTGAACTGTTACTCAGCTAATGGTCTCATGAGTTGTCATATCGTTGAAAGAATTGCGTTCATTTTTATCCAGTCTCAGGTCCTGGGCTCTCTTGGAGAATGTTTCTCACTTGTTGGCGAAGCCAATGAGATCATTGCTGCAGCACGTTCTCAGGGACAGCCACTCTCTTGTTATGTGTTGTGGCACATTTTTTTGCAAAGAGCATGTCGCAACTTTTAGCCCCTAAATGCTGGCCTTGGCTAGGAGTTTCATGCACGTGGTTTTGTTGTCCAGTGGGCAACGGTGACTGGAAAGATGTGTGGCATTCACGTTTGGCCCTAAGAAGTTCAGCCATTGTCTTTGGATGGCAAGTTCAAGTCTTTAGGTTTGGCGCGAAAGGGTTTTCCTGCTGGCCTTCAAGCAGGGGGTCCACATCCCACTCCTGCAGGTCAGGCAGACTTACTCTGATGTCAAAGTAGATGGCACAGAATCTTGAGTTGCGCCATCTATGTCAAATGCAAAATGCCGGGGATAGATGGCTCAACTCCCATTCAAAACAGGTCAGTTGCGCCATGTATGTCCCTAAAAATCACCAATATTTTGCAATCTTCTGCGCTGGTTTCCCCCCATATTTTTTTCTCAACATCAAGCTGCCTTTTTGGGACATAGATCATTCGCCAAAATCAGGCTGGGAATGCCCACATAGATGGCGCAACTCCTTCATACCTCCCGACATCTATAAACCAACCTAACCAAAATATGCCACATAGATGGCGCAACTCCCTCAGATCTCCTGACACCCATAAACCAAGCTAACCAAAATATGCCACATAGATGGCGCAACTCCCTCACATCTCCCGCCATCCATAAACCAACCTAACCAAAATATGCCACATAGATGGCGCATCTCCACATAGATGGCACAATTTTTCAATTCAATATATGCATTCTGTTTTTTTTTAAATGTATAATATATACATACATGAACCCCCCGTTGTTGGCAGTTATTTTTCTTGTTTGTTGAAGGGATGTAGGGTTTAGGGTTGGACACGATATATTTTGATAGAAATGGAAATGTAATTTTTCAACATTTAGTGACAAAAAATCGAGAAAAAATCCGGGGTACTACAACGATAGGTCCCCAAACACTCTTTGTGGGGACCTATCCTCTGAGTCCTGGTGGTTTTGCCTCCTATCTTGGGATAACTCTGATGTCTTTCCTGGTGGTTTTGCCTCCTGTCTTGGGATAACTCTGATGTCTTTCCTGGTGGTTTTGCCTCCTGTCTTGGGCCTTGGGATAACTCTGATGTCTTTCCTGGTGGTTTTGCCTCCTGTCTTGGGCCTTGGGATAACTCTGATGTCTTTCCTGGTGGTTTTGCCTCCTGTCTTGGGATAACTCTGATGTCTTTCCTGGTGGTTTTGCCTCCTGTCTTGGGATAACTCTGATGTCTTTCCTGGTGGTTTTGCCTCCTGTCTGGGGTAACTCTGATGTCTTTCCTGGTGGTTTTGCCTCCTGTCTTGGGGTAATTCTGATGTCTTTCCTGGTGGTTTTGCCTCCTGTCTTGGGATAACTCTGATGTCTTTCCTGGTGGTTTTGCCTCCTGTCTTGGGATAACTCTGATGTCTTTCCTGGTGGTTTTGCCTCCTGTCTTGGGAATTGGCAGAACCCGTTTTATGTTCCAGCTAAAATAGTGCCGTTTTCTTTCTCACCACGCCGTGCCGTCTTGTGGGTATTTTGGTTTTTGAATTGAGCCATCTACTTTTAGGTCAGTGTACATGTCCTTATTGTTTTTGTTGCTCATCAACGTTCTTTGCAGGACCACCGTTTACTCACCGCAGAGGAGATAGAGGCTGAGTCCAATTCAATTTGGAACCGCAAAGGCCGTATCCCGTTGTGGACTTGGCTGTCTGATGCCCCAGTAGCAGATTCCAAGCAAAGGCTTAAGATGCTTGGCAACGCTGTCATGCCTCGCTGTGGGCGTTTGGCTTTGCATCTAATGTTGCACCAGCACCAAAAGTGATCTATAATCACTTGTCCTATTTGGTTTGTACCTTGCAGTTTTTAGACCATGTTTCGTGGAAAAATGTACATGCTGGTGCTGACGGACTCCAACGTTGAAGCGGTCTTGTGACCTGCATGCCTGTCGCAGAGCTGTAGAACACTGCCTTGTTTTGAGAATGTTTGTGGATAGGATCTCCAACTGAGTCTGTTTTCACTACAGTCACTACAGCTGGAGACTGAAGACAAATTCGAGTCGGACCCCGACACTGTGACCGCCGAGATCCTGGATCGTGATTCCGGCTAGTTTCCACATTGATGCTTCCAGCTTTGAGCTCCCAGTTTTTTCCAGATCGCCACACTTCCAAGCAACAAGTTGTCTTCTGATGTTCATTGAAAGTGTTCTGATATGCCCTTTTGGGATGACAGTCACTGCAGCCATTTTAGTTTTTCAGGCAGTGGAGATTTGAGATGAGAAAAATTCCTGACAAACCAGTTGGTAACTGGTGGGCCGCAGTGTACTGTAAAGGTGAGAACATGTGTGGTCACAGCGGCTTCCCATCAGATTCTGATGGAGAATCAGTCGCCGAGACTACTGCAGACACAACTGACGATGGTGCCAACGCAGCGTCCCCAGAGAAGCGTTTGGAAGAGGCAGGGTTCAGAATGAACTTAAGTTGAATATTCACTGGTGACCTGAATGAGGTTTAGCTATCTTTTAAAAAATATCAGCTTACTTGTTGGTAGTTGCAGATCGCAGCCTTATCTCTTGCAAGGCATTGTTGGAGAAAACATTTAGGTATGCATCTTTTGAAACATCATGTAGTTGAAATTGAAAGCTTGGTCCAGGCTGTCGTGCCCCATAGCGCTGCCGATCGCTCAACAAGTGGCGTTGCAGAGGTCTGCAGTTCACCTCAAACTTTGTAAGGTAGATTCCAATCATTGAGTGTTACTGTGGCATCTTCATCCCATCCAGTCGTCGTGGCTTCCAATCATTCAGCGTCAGGCCAACAGATTCCAGAAGGATGACCAGCTGGTTGCAGGCTTGGTGTTGGTGAGCCTCATTCCTTTGTTTGCGAAAACCTTGCTTTGTGAGGAGCCAAAACGCAGTCTGTGAAGAGAGCATTGCCTGAAGGCGAGGTGTGCTGAACTTTCCCAAGCAATTTCCAGCACATGCCTTCTTCATCTAGTAATTAGTCTGATGTTTCCTCCATTGCCCTATTTTGATTTCAAGTTTTCCTGCCTGGCAGGAAGCTGCCAGCTTGAAGGACAACGCGACGCAATGAAACGGCTGAAATCCAGCTTTCAGCTCGAATGATTTGTTTCAGGATTCACTGAAATTCGTTGCTTCAGCTTGCGGTGGTTGTGGCCACCAAGCCTGTCACAGCGCACACTGATTTGGAAAAAAGTACTAGCTCACTAGGCTTCGCAGACCCGTGATTCAAACGCTGGCAGACTGATTTGATTTGCAGATGGCAGATGATGTGTGCCACCCATTGCCCACCTTGTTTTTGCTCCAGGGCCATGGGGGCCTTAGTACTTTGGTGGCTTCAGTTTGAATTTATTTCAATGTGACCTGATACTGGTATCCAGCTTATAGCTTTTATGCCAAATAGTATTGGTATCCAACTTATAGCTTTTATGCCAAATAGAATAAGCACTAAAGATTTTGCATGTCTACAGCCCATCGACTTTGATTGGCCGATGCCAGTTTCACAATGTCGCTGTCTAAGTCCAGCTCGTCTTCGAAGCTCCCTGACATTCTCACTTTAAGTGACGACGAAGGGCCTACGACTGGAACTCCGGCAGTGCAGACCAAAACTGAGCCAAGTTCAAGTTCAAAGCGCGGTGGCAGACTGAAGCTTTGGACCAACAAGCGGAAGCGACTCTTGGCTCCAGTGAAAGCCCGCTTGAGAGAAAAGGTGTTGAGGCGCCTGTACACAAAGTGCCAGTGTGCGGTGGCTGGAAAACGTGATAGTTGCTTCTGCCCATTCCGCAATGATGAGCCTGCCACTCAAGAGATTGTTCGTTTGCGAGAGCGACTCTTTGAGCTTCACAAGCAAGATGCTGATGAAGAGGTTCCATGATGATTCCAAACTTGACTAGTAACCACTTGCCTCACCCAAGGCTAAATCTCCATTGAGCGGATTTGAACTTAGATGATTGTTGCAAGTCCACTCTTTTGACGTCAATTGTTTGACCCCTTCCTTGAATTTCCCTGAGGTTGTCCGTATGCTTACTCCAGCAGCATTGGCAAGAGAAAGCCCTGGTGATGCAGCATTTGAGCGGAGGTCTATTCGTATGTTTGGCCGGCACCTTTGCCAGGATGCCTTTCGTTCCCTGCTAGGGATTGGGTCTGCTCGGTTTAGACGCTTGTGGCATTGCGCCCAACATGGTTGCAAGCCGCCAACAGATGGGAGAAGCTTGAAAAAATCACACTCCCATTCCAGTGGACCGAAGTCAGCCAACAGGCAGGCAATTATAGGATTCCTCCAGGAGCTCTACATCACCTTGTCAGAGCCTCTCCCTGAGGCAAAGGGGCCTGTGCGAGGTGATCGCAAGCTCGCATTTCAGCGACGGCGGGGGAGAAGACCAAGGATGGCTGCCAAGTTACACAGGAAGCAGGACACTCCAGACATGCGACTTCTTCCTCCTGGAACATTTACAGATTACCTCCAGATGTTGAGAACCAGGGATGGCTGCGAAAAGATTTCTCTCAAGCTGTTCACTTCAGCAACTTGGCAGACAGTTTGTGTCTCCCAGACGCTTTTTCTCCAGCCACCTTCTTTCTTTGGGATGGCCAATTCAATCTGCCCCAGTTTGCCAATTTTTTAATCCATTCAATTCAATGCAAACCTTCCCAGGTTTGGTCTGAGTCCTTTGGCAAGAAGTTGGCCATAAGGGAGCCAACCGGCCACGCGATGTGTCAAATTTGTTGTAGACATAAACACATCCTGAAGTCGCTGAGTGGCGACAGGTTGGGACGCCAGTGTCAGATGCAGATGTACAGCGCCCACCTCAAAAGGCAATACGAAGACCGATGCCTTTATTGGCAGGCGCGTGCTGCTAGTAGAATGAATGCCATCACTGCAGACAGCACACAACAAGTGTGCTGCATCGTGGACGGCATGGACCATTCGAAATTCCGATATCCTCGCAGTTTAGCAATGTTGTCGAAGGAGTACGATTTTCTGCAGCGGCCTCACTTGAACATGCACGCCATCTTGGCCCACGGCCATATGTGTTTACTTTCACTGGCGGACATTACGGTTCCCAAGGACGCATCCTTTTGTGTTGAGCTTCTGAGCCACTGCTTGCACTGCATCAGTGACCGCTTGGACCTCAGGGTCACGCGGTTGCTGGTGCAGTGCGACAACACATGTCGCGAACTGAAAAACAATTGCACCTTACGGGCCATGAGCCAGTGGGTGGCAAATTCCAGGCTGTGGAACTGCGAACTTCGATGTTTGCAGAAAGGACATTCACACGAAGATGTGGATGCATTTTTTGCAAATGTAGCAGTGACAGTGGAGAAATACAACGAGCTCCATCGGCCTTGCAACTTCCAGGAGATTTTGCAGCAGTACTTGGATGGCGGCGCCCGGAGACATGAACCATTGAAGCGAGTTGTCCAAGTGGATGAGGTCCGTGACTGGTGTCTTGCCTGACTGACAAAAAGGTTTGCTGCTAGCTGCTAACTTTATCCTGAGCTGTTTTTCCATATTCACTGCAGAAAAGGGGGGTCCGAGCAATCCAAAGCACAAATTCCTGACATCAGGTCTACTTTCTTGAATGTGGCCTTTGATGGTGCTCACTTGAAGGGAATAGGTGGACCTGGAGCCCCTCACACCTTCCTTCTGGAACGCTTTTGTGACACAGGCGAGTTGAGCTTCAGCTTGACTTCGTCTCTCAGCATATTGTCTGATGGCTGACTGAGCAGGTCTTTCCAGGGATGTCATTGACAACAAGTTCTGGTCAAAAGTCCGGAAGGAACCAGAACATCCGTGCGATGTCGTTTTGAGGACTGGTTTTAGCTTATTTGTTGGCTCAGATGTATTGAAACTGCTTATAGTCCTGCTTATTTTACAGATATATATATATAGGGCGAAACACATTTGCAGGCAATCCAGTAAAGTCAACAATGCATGCGTGTACCCGCCCTAACCTTTAAAATGCGCAGCTCTTCGTGCCACGGTTTTTTCCCGAGCCACAAAGTTCTGAGTAGCAGTCTCGTCTTGACTGACACTGAGTGAGCTAGCCCAATGACAATCAGGGCTGGCAGCCCAATGCAGAATCTAGTCTGAAAGCAGTCAGTTTTTTTTCTCTCAGATGCAGCCAACTTACTGGCACCAGCCGTGAATTTCGGTGCATCTGTCTGTTTGTGGAGAGAGAGGGAGGGAGAGGGAGAGAGAGAGACTTGCGCATTGACTTGCGCCCGAAAAGTATGCAGACTGAGTCTGATTCCTTTCTGACTTTCTGAATTGCCTGCAATGAATTTCTACTGGATATTTGTGTGACTATACCTTCCACACAGACCGTCCACTGAACAATGATATCAATATCCTTTCACGTCCTCTTTGCTTTAGTGTCGGAGGCCAGCCTAGTATGGTTTGTAGAGGACGAAGCAGTTCATGAGCAATGAGCAGTTTTGCGGCCGCCCAATCCTTTTTTTGCCATACTCTGTGGCAAAAGACACTGCCGAGCGTGGTGCTGTTCCAGAAGGCACGCCACCCTTCAATATAGAGGCAATGACTGGTTCAAAGAAATTGATTCGTTGGACAGAATTGTTTCTGTTTAGCCTCCTCTGCAGTGTTCCTGCCAGTCACGGGAGCCAAACGGTCTGTGGACGAGAAGGCTGCAGCTAGTTGGAGAAAAGCTGCAGCAATCATGAGTTCTGTCCTTGGTTTCGAACAACACTTACCCCAGTCAGCTTGTTGAACAGTCTTGTGCCAAGGAGCACCTCCATTCAACATGACAGAGGCAGCCGACCACTTGACTGCACTGGCCAATGGCACTTTGCCTCAGCATCCCCCACTTCCAGTTGGAAGGACAGCTTCAGTTACAGTTTTCTGGTCGCTGATCTGAGAAGAGTTTGACAGCCACCTCTGCAGGATGTTGCCTTCTCCTGGGCCAGCAGTTGGTCCAGGTCAGTCTGTTCCAAGGCACAGAGGACAGAACCTGGAACCCGCAGCTTGACACATTCAGTTCAAGTCTCTATCTTCGAAAAATTACTTGCGTAGCATTGTTCATGCTACTTATTTAGTGAGTGAGAAAGCTAATTATTCACACGTCGAGGCTCCAAACCGTTTGGACTTGCACACTGAGCGGGTGAGCAAGCGCACATTGGACGCATACAAAGTGAAACGGAAAACGGTGCACATTTTTCGTGCTGCTGCCCGTTTGTGGGCAGCAGGTGTCGCTTTTGACCGGGCCCTTGAGATTGTAACTGCTGCCTTTGATGCGGCAGTCGAAGGTTGATTTTGGCAATCCAGTACAAGATATTGAAGTGGTTTTTCTCCATTTGCCTTTAGCTTATCAAGGGCTCTAGATTTGATTTTTCCTCGCCCTCTTCTTCTCTCTGACTCATCACTCTTTCCTCCCTTCTTCGCTCTTCCGCGCCTCTTTGCGCCTCCTCCGCGTCTATTTTGCCCACCCTCCAGTCTACTATTATTAAGTACAGCCAGCTGGCAGTCTGACAAGCCTTCATCAGGTCTAGTGGGCCTGAACGGTAGCACGAGCACACACTGCCATGAGCCCTCAGAATCTGTGCTGCTTGCTGGATCTGTGCAGTATTGCTGGCTCTATGCGCCCTAAATGGTTAATGCCAGAGAAGATATCATTTAGTGTC